CCCGCACCGACCGGGCCCGCCGGGCTGGGGGCGCCGCCGCGCCAGCTGCGGGGTCGGGAGGCAGACAGGAGGGAGGCTGGGCCCCAGGACGCAAGGTGGCGACAAGTCGCGTTTGGCCCCAGGTAATGGGGGTCCGGCGGCGGCACCCGCTCTGGGGTCACCGTGGCGGTGCACGGGGGAGGTTGCCTGGGATGGCAGGGTCGGGAGGCCTCAGGGGGGCAGGAATATCAGGGATGCGCCTTCTGCCCGAAAGCCGATAATAATTAATGGTAATAATTATCGTCGTCATAATCATAAAACCGCTAATACTCAGGTGAGCACTGATGTGATGGCAGTGTGCTGGGGGAGGTTTACAACATAATCTCCCTAAGGATAAGATCAAAGTTGCTGCTATTCTTAACCCTACTTTATACCTGAGGAAGTATAGGCTTGGAGGTCAAGGGAGTTGAGATCCGGCAAGTGTCGGAGCTGGGTTCGAATTTGCTTGGTCTGATTTCCAGGGCTGGATGGACAGCGACTCTGCAGCATGCCCCACTCTGTACCTCATCGGTGATCCCAGTGAGTCTTCAGGGACTGGAAGGTGTACCCTGTGCCACCTTCCTCCCTGAATATCTGTTTTCTGGGAAGAGCTGCTCTTGTTCTGATTCTCAAGCACACTGAAGGGCCTTCTTTGCACGTGCTGGTTCTTCTGCTTGGACCAGCTCCCTATCCTGAGAGCATCCTCTCAGAGTAAGACCTGGCTCACTCTGGATGATACGGTCTGCCTTACTCAGTGTCTCTGCTCTCTGTTCATTTCCTTCTCAGCACTTGTAATTTGTCATTAAGTTTTTTACATTTCTATTTAAAATCCTTTTCTTCTAATTGGTCACTAAGTTCTTTGAAGGCAAAGTACCATGCTTGTTTTTTGGTACCACTGTACCCCGCCCCTTCCCCAGTGTTTACTGTCATAAGGTGGGAATTGAGGAAGGTTTTGTTTCTCTGGTAAACTCATTGTGTGTGTGTATTCAGAAGGTTATTTATTGCCTACTTATTACTTTCAAGGCTGACACCTTGATGGACATTTCCAGGACAACACAAGATCACAGAAGGCCTTGATTGTCAGGGGAAAGCGTCTAAACTTTGGTCTGCAGGCAATCAGGAACCCTTGAGGAGTGTGGTGTGATTAGCTGTGCTTCAGTAAGATTCTTCTGACAGCAGTGTTTAAAAGGATGGCAGAGCAGAACCTGGAGTGTCTAGTCCTAAGTCTCAAACTTTGATATGTACAGAAATCACTGTGAATTCCAGTAAAATGCAGGCTCTGATTCAGTAGGTCTGGAGACTCTATGTTAATAACAAGCATCTGGGTGCTTACCTGTTCATGCCTACCTGTGGTCCACTGACCACACTTTCAGTAGGAAGGCCTTTGAGGACAGTTTGGACATTTTTGAAAAAAATCTAAGTGACTGCTAATAAGCCCCTAACTTAGCACCCCTGACTGACTGGGGCAAGTGGCTAACCAAGAATATCTGTGAATGTATGTTGATAGAAAAGTGCAATCAACTTTGAAGGACACGTGGGTTAGGAATTGAATTTTTATAATAGTGTACATGAGTTTATTTTCCTTATGAAACAAGAAGCCTAAAGTCATTGATATAATGGCTGAGAACTGAATCTCTTCTCTCAGAAGTCTTTTATCCTATTCCCTTCCCTCATGATCACGGTAGGCTGCCAACACCTCAGCGATTGCTTCTGCATTCCAGGAAAAAAGAAGGACAAGAAGGAAACAACAAAAACGTTCCCGCCATCCTATCTAAGTAGGCTCCCCACAAAGAGCTTTCTGGAAGCCCTACATCATGACAAACATTTAAACGTATCGTTGGCTGTCACTGTCAGCAAGAAGGGATAGAAAATTTATTTTTAATTTCTTTGTTTAAAATCAGGCCCATAGCTATAGAGAATTCCATCCTGCCTTGATGTGGGATTTAGCAACCGGGCTGTATCTGCTTGGAGCAAAGAATGCCTTATAACCCACTTGAAGACACCGACTCTGGTTCCTTTGTGGTAATGCTGATGGCAGCCTTTATTTGCTATGCACCTGCTACGTGCCAATCACTGTGTTAAATACTCGGCATGTTATTTAATGCAATCATTGTGAAGGCCATATGTAGTGCATACTGCTCCAGTCTTCACCTTGCAGGTGAGGCAGAGGGGTCAATTTGTTCAGGTTTTCACCAGGAGGGACTGTAAGAGCTAGAAGTTTGACTTTAGAGCCCATATTTGTAACCACCACACACCCTATTCTTCATTATAATTGCAAAGAAAGCGATTGAGTTTATACAAACCACAACCTGACAAACTGCCCATGCTCATGTGCACAGAATTATAGCCCCTTCAGAGAGGGAAGGATTTTTCAAAACCATCTAACCACAAGCAAAAAGGCTCATTAATGGCTGAGTAGGAGGTAGAATCCAGACCCCCGACTCCTCAGTCAGTACCTTCCCACTTACTAGAAATCTTAATGCTATTTGGTTAAATGAGCACAGGACTTTCAACAAGTCACTTGATCTCTTGGAATCTTAAATGCTCCCATTGTATAAGGGATTCTGAACTCTAAAATTAAGTTTGTATTTGAGAAAATGGAAGTTAAATGGTTATATACCGCAAATGAGAGATTGATTCTTCAGAAAAGGACAAGAAATAAGAGACATTTGGCTCCTATAATTTAAATATCTATGTGTTTTCTATTTCTATCTATGCTTCAGTATGATTCTCTGTGGGGCTTGAGACTCGGTTAAATCATTTGCTGAAGCTCAACTATCAGAAGCAGCAGTAGAAAATATATAAATCATGGCTCTTTTATAGCATTTATATGTGTACTTCTTTCATTTTCAACATTTGTTCAGTAGATGCATACTTAAGGAAAAACTATTAACATTTCATTGGCCACAATCAATTTATTTTCCTTTTACTGTTTCTAGGTAGCTTCAGGCGAGAATTTTAAATACTTTCTTAGGCACCAAATTACATGTCTGACTCTCAAAGCAAAAGAGCTCTATGAGATTTTTCCCTGTAAAAAACATTTTCATTTTACTTACAACAAAATTATTTCTTTTGCACGTAGATAGACATGTTGGTATTTCCTGCCCACCTCCAATCAGTTATGTCACATATTTGATGCACAGAGACACAGTGTAAGTGGTACTGGAAATTCCGACTGTTTAGAGGAAATGGTTGGCACACCCTGACAGATGCAGGCAAAGCCCTGGGTCCCAGAAACTTGGGAGCCAATTTGGGCAGTATCTCCACTTCATCTTCAGGCTTCTACCAGCAGGTACATTAAACACCAAATTAGAGAAGGCTGGTTTCACATGATTCCATCCCAGCTCTTAGAAAAATGGGCCAAACTCTTAGCCCAGCATATATTATATTATCAAAGGACAGCACTCACATTGACCACTTCATGTGTGGAAGTCATAACTTTGGCAATGAAAATGGGCTTTGGAGGTAGGTATACTCTGGTTCATATGCAAGTCATAACAGATAGTAGCTATACATAGTCTTGGGGGAAATCTCTTGCCTACTCTGAACCTCTGAATATCAAAAGCCCATTATAAGGAAGAAGATACTAAGAGAGAGGAGTCTCAACTAAATGAGAGACATTTGCAAAGAGTGTAGCACAAGGCGTACACACAGGTGCATATTTGCTATTACCAGGCTATAAAACCTTGGCTAGGTTGTTAGTATTTGTGTGGCAGGTATGAATGTCAGTCCCTAAAATCAAGGGTACAAGGATTGCAACTGTTTTCTAGAAACCTACTGGTGGGAAGAAAATGTAATCTTAGTGCTTCTAGAGTTTCCTAATGGCTCCTGGCTCTTCAGTGATCTGCTGCAATTTCAGACATATGCCCAGGTTGCACAGTACGTGGTGATTCAGGATAGGTATGCATGTGTGTGTGTAGGGTGTGGGTACTCCCTTCAGATGTGTGGCAGTCACAGGCATATTGTTCCCATTATAAGCCACTGTGGTCTAGGGACTCTTTACTGCCTCCTGCCAGACTTGGGGTGTGAGAATCTGGCCTGAGAATGCATGTGATACTATATGCAGCCACAGCCGTTCCTCTCAGCAGTATGTCTGGGAAACCATAAGCTCATCCTCTCTCTCTCAGTACCCTCTCCCACCTACTTTCATCTCCTCAGACTCCCTTTCTAATCTGAAAGAGGGGGAAAGCCTGGTTTTCCCTTGTTCTTCTGGACAGTGTAATCAGTCAACTGCCTCAAGAATCTCTGGTCCTGGCTAGGCGCCTATAGCTCAACCGGCTAAGGCGCCAGCCACGTACACCTAAGGTGGCGGGTTTGAATCCCCAGCCCAGACCCGCCAAACAACAATGACGGCTGCAACCAAAAAATAGCCGGGTGCTGTGGCGGGCGCCTGTGGTCCCAGCTACTTGGGAGGCGGAGGCAGGAGACTCGCTTGAGCCCAGGAGTTGGAGGTTGCTGTGAGCTGTAATGCCATGGCACTCTACCCGGGGGGACAGCTTGAGGCTCTGTCTCAAAAAAAAAAAAAAAAGAATCTCTGGTCCTAGAATTTGGGTGTTTGGGAAAACAAAAGCCAGAAAGCCACTTGGCTAGGAATCTTTCCTAGACAAGGAAGACCAGAGCCTGCTACCTGCTCGAATGTTAAGAAGGAGAGGGAAAAATAGAAAAAGAAAAAAAATCATTACTTTGTGTCTCAAACATTATTCTTGCTGCCCATATTTGTTGAATGAATGAATAACTTCATGTGTATATACATGGCATATTGTCACACTCCATTAAGATAAATACAATTTGTGAAAATTATTTAATATATCTTTAATATGTGGTTTTTTCCATGCAGAAGAGGAAGTTGGACCCCTTCCTCACACCATATATATATAAATATATAAATAAAGAAAATATTCAAAATGGGTCATAGACCTAAAAATAAGGGCTAAAACCCTAACAAACTTCCCAAAGAAAACATAGGAGTAAATCTTCATGACTTCAGATTAGGCTTCTTAGCTACGATGCCAAAGGACAGGTGACCAAAAAAATACATAAATTAGGTTTCATTAAAATTTTAAAAGTTTTCGCTTCAATCAGCACCATCAAAAAAATTAAAAGACCACATACAGAACAGGAGAAAAGGGTTTTTTGCATGTCTGGTGAGAGACTTGTATTCAGAATATATAAAGAACTCTTACAACTCAATAATTAAAGCACAACACATTTTTTTAAATGGTTAAAGGGTTTAAATAGGCATCTCTCCAAAATAGATACACAAGTGGAAAAGAAGCACATAGAAAAATGCTTCACGTCCTTAGTCAGTGAGGGAACGTAAATCAAATCCATCTGAGATACTGGTTCACATTTAGTAGGGTCACTATTATCAATAAGACAGACAATAACAAGTGTTGGTGATGATATGGAAGAATTGGAACCCTCGTGTGCCGGTGGCAATGTAAAATGATACAGCTGCTTTGGAAAATAGTTTGGAAGCTCCTCAAAGTTAAGCATAGAGTTTACCATATAACACCGAAGTTCCATTCTTAGGTATATACCCAAGAGAAATGAAACGATGTCCACACCAAAACCTGTGCACAAAAGTTCACAGCTGCATTATTCATAATAACCAAAAGGAGGAAACAGGGCAAACGTTGGTTAATCAATGAATGGATAAATAAAACGCCATATCCGAACAGTGGAATATTATTCACTCTCAAAAATGAGTACTGGTCTGATTACTAGTCTGGATGAACCTTAAAAACACTATGTTAAAGGAAAGAAGCCAAACACAAAACACCGTGTATTATACAAATAAACTTACATAAAGTGCCCCAATAGACAAATCTGCAGTGACCAAAGGTAGACTAGCAGTTGCTAGGGGTTGGGGAAGGGACTGGAGAATGACTGCTAATGGGGATATGGTTTTTTGCTGGGCGGAGGGGGAGGGGGGCGCTGATTAAAATGTTCTAAAATTAGCTAGTGCTGGCTTGGTGCCTGTAGCTCAGCGGCTAGGGTGCCAGCCACATATACCAGAGCTGGCAGGTTTGAATTGAGTCCGGGCCTGCCAAATAATAATGACAACTACAACCAAAAAATAGCCAAGTGTTGTGGCAGGCACCTGTAGTTCCAGCTACTTGGGAGGCTGAGGCAAGAGAATTGCTTAAGCCCAGGAGTTTGAGGTTGCTGAGCTATGACACCATAGCACCCAGGGTGACACAGTGAGACTGTCTCAAAAAGAAAACAAAAAATTAGCTAGTGCTGACAGTTGCAGAACTCTGTAGGTATCCTGGGAAATTTAAAAAAAAAAGAAAATTCATATGGAAGTGAGGTCACCTTTGTGACTTCTGGAAATATCTTTATTAAGAGATGGAGAGGGGCCTGAAAGGTACCTGGACTCATGCTTATCACTATCTGAGTAAATGTAGCTCCTTGGAGTTTGGCTTCTTGTGCCCTTTCCTGAGGCTGGCTGCAGAAATAGTCACACCTTGCCATATGGTCGTGTGCACAAGAGGTGCCTCTGTTATGGGCTTTGATGCTGAGATGAATATGGGAAGAGGGATTCAGAAGTTCTTATTCAGTCAAAAGTTAATCATATTTTACATCCAGCAATGCACTGAGATTTTTAAAATTTTAATTATTTAAAAAAATTTTTTTCTATTCAGTAGTTTTACATTGCAATTTTCCAGTAGAAGCAGTCATAGTGTAGATCTAACAATCCACTGAGGTATTTTTCAACTTTAATTTTATTTATTATTTTTATTATTATTATTTTCCAGAAGGGATCCCACCTAGACCAAAGTACAGTGACTTGCTCATAGCTCACTGCAGCCTCAAATTCCTGGCCTCAAGCAATCCTCCCATCTCACCTTCCTGAGTAGCTCAGACTTACAGGCATGTGCCACCCTGCCCAGCTATTTTTAAAGAAATTTTTTGTAGAGACAGGGTCTTGCTATGTTGCTCAGGCTGGTCACAAACTCCTGGCCTCAAGGAGTCCTCCTGCCTCAGCCTCCCAAAGTGAGGAGATTACAGGTGTGAGCCACTGCAACTGGCTGCATTGAGGTGTTTTTCATACATTATCTTATTTACTCCTACAAAATCCTTATACCCCCATTATACAGATGAGAAGCCTCAAGTCTTAAAGCAGTCTACTTTACACAGCATGAAGTGGTAGAGCAAGGTAAAAATGTAATCTATCTGAATTAAAAGCATGAGTTCTTAATAAATACATATAGAGGGCTGTGTCAAAAAATAGATAATTGAGGTAAAGCCTAATTAGTATGATATAAATATTAAATTGGGGTTGGATCTGATAGCACAGAACTCAGACACAACATGATGCCATAGGCAACATTTTAATCACCCTAAAATAAACACTTCCAGTTTTAAAAAGAAACAGGGAACCTACACTAAAATGTTATTATTTATAATGCCGTTGTTGACATTTTTGTAATAATTTTTTAAGCAAGTTACAGCCATGACTCCAAGCAAGACAAAAAGCCCCCTTTCCTGTTGCCCCTCTTTTCCATTATATTTATAGCTGTTTAAATTCCTTCTAGTGGTTAAGTCATGTTGAGAACTTAAATTTTCCTTTATAAAGATTTAGTGGGGCCACAGGGCTGGTGTGCAGATTACAGGGTCAAGCCTGTTCCTTAGCCATTCTTTTCATGCACACAGAATAATGGTATGGATATTGTATATCAAAGCTGCCCCTGCCATAATCATCACCTTCATCTCCTTTCTTATTTAATAAAAAATCAAATGCTGTAATTGATTATTGTTACTTTCTATTCTAGAGAATTACAGAGAATATACTTTCTAAAGTGGAGATTTGGGAGACATATCCTTACCAAAAGTTCCAAGCTATGGAATGGAGACATCTTTAAGGATGTATTTACTATTTCTTGATTTCCTAGTTTACCCACCATGCAATGACTTTCTTGTAATAAAAAATGAAAGTTTAGCTCTTTTAAATACTCAACTTCTACATACATACACCTGCCCCACATGTAAATTCTTCATATTCCCGTACCACCAAGCATTGCACTGGGTTTTTATTTAGATCATGTAGAGACTCCATTATTGGCCAGAATTATAGCAGCTGTAACGAGAACATGTATAAAAACTTTTAAATGCAGTTTTATCTTAGAGATAAGGCACATAAACAGTATAGCATGGGCTCATTTCTCCTTGGAGACTTCTATGTGATCTTGTAGAGGTCTGATTTCCATGTCATAGACATTTTGGTTGAACAGCTGCATTTCTCAGAAAAACTGCTGCCACTGAAGCCCCCTTCATTCTCCTACCTCAGTCTGGTCTGGACAGCTCCCTGCACAGCTGGTGCCCTGGCCCTTCCTTGTAAAGCACACTCTTCAGTCCTTCTGTCAGAGCTCCCATTCCTGGCACCCCTGTTTTCTTCCTTCTTGTTCAGTTCTTTCATTTTATTTTTAGGTG